ACTGAGTACGAAATCTAGCGTCATTTAACAGGGCCCATAAAACACTATGAGACTTCTAAACTGCGTGTAGCGCAGGTGTGTACTTGCCGTGAAAGAAACCCCCTTATGTGGCAGGCATAAAAAGACTGCTGCTCCAGTACATAAAAGGCGGCGAATGTCGTTGATGTGGTGAGGCCATCATTAGAGGCTAAAAGATGCGCCTTGGGAGCTCGTAGGTAGAGAGTACACTGATGTTTATTGACAAGAATAGACCTTTTCACCGACTGCTGTGGACACGCTTGACTGAGGTGAAGCGAAAATGGTCCGTGGGCACGACTTTTATTTCATTGTTAAATGGGCATGGCTTTCATTTCATTGTTAAGGAAACACGTGTCCACCACAGTAATTGTAGAAGGTAGTTGACTTTCAAAATAAAGAAGAAAAATTGAAAAGTCACGGGTGCGTCGAAGGCATGTTTGGTTTTCATTTCGCTTATCATTCATATCACAATATTATAGAACGTTGTTACAAAGGACTGCAGTGCATAAGAACACGACTACATCTAGGATGCATTCCCACTTGCCCTTGAAGGGGTGTGAAAGCGGAAACACCCAAATCCATTTTTTCGACACCACCACCACGCAACATCCGACAGCATTCCCGCTTCATTGGGCTGTGCTAGATTATACACGCAATATACACATGCGGGCACCAATTAAATATGGCGGCAAAAGAGTCAGCAGTGGTTCGTGAAATCGCACACTACCTTTGCATCATGGCAAATACCACAGCTTCCACAAGGACATGTTTCTGAAGAGCCTGATTAAGGTAAAGGTTGCCGAAAACAATAGAGTAAACAAAAGGTGCAGCAGCCCAACTTTGGCGTGCCCGAACATAATTCGCTTTTACGCAGCCAGACGCATCCACCACTGCTGTTGCGGACTTTATTACTAATGTAGTTTCTGATGGTGTATTTCCTGAAAACTGTTTGATGACGGGAAAACTTTTTTTTAGAATGTTTTCTGTGCATAGCTTGAATTCTGTATGAAATAGAATGCCCAGAAAGCTGTCGAAATGGAATGCCCCGGTCAAGGCGTCAGCGACAGTGGCATGTATATGCGGACATCAAATGAGAACAAGTTAGACATTGCGAACGCAGTTTTTCATCAATAAGTATCGTCGCTTTTTTTTTTCAAGCGTGAATGTGGCTTCATTGACGAACCGCCACCGCATTGCGTGAAGTACCTATAGCGTGTCGCTCAACCTCTGCCATTATTAGGCCTCCATTTTCTGGCGAAATTGTCTTATTACTTGTTTTATGAAGTGCCAAAGACAAAAGCAGCCCTTTTGTGCTTTGTTATGGGGCATTCACTTTGCTCAGTAACATCTTTGCAAAGGTAGAGGAAGGGCAGAGGGCACGAAGGAAGCTCGTTTCGGGAAGGTTGTTGCGCAGGCCACATGAGGCTTTCGGTCATATATTTTCCTTGAAACTTTGTATTCGTTCGAAACAGCGCTCTCTAAGTACTTTCCATACACAACTAAAAAGCGAAAAATACCATTTATATGACTAACATTTCATTTCTTGCGTGCTTGTTCCTCAGTACTGGCTCCTACCTACTATTGAACATATCTACAACCTCGCTAACTCTAACTAGATCTTCTTGCTCGGCATCTTCATTAAGCATGCACCCCACTTGCATTCACTCAGCCCCGTAACATCTTTGCACTGGTGTAGGTGGGGGAAGGGGGGATGACGAAAGGAGCTTGGTCCCGTAAGGTCGTTGCATTCTTTCTTGCGGTCTTGCTCGCTGACATTGTTCCCCTGGGAGATTGGCAGCAGCAAAAGCTTCTTTCGTGATCTTTCGGAATCCATCAAAAAACTACATGCCACTCTTTCCGCAGTACGAAGCATCGAAGGTCCCGAAGTAAGGCGTGCGCTTTCACGCCATGTAACTTTTAACGGGTGCTACGCTGCGTTCAGACGACATTACGTTGTTAATTATTGAGCGTGGTCGCCTCTCCTTCAGATGGCACACAGGCTCTTTAACGTAAAACATTGCGGACATCGCCATCAACTGCAAACGTAGCAGTGCCAGGCATAGCTACTATGTACTGGCCCACGTGAGTGACAATACTTTTCAAAGCTGTTTTTTCTAGGCAGCACTTTTTCGTTCAGTTTAGCTAGAACAAAATGTGGATTCTTTTTGTCTAGTGAAATACTTTGGTCGTACACCCATTCGCGTGCCCCTTGAGAACGTCTCTTCTTTTGTGCTGATATTTCTTGTCATTACCAACTGTTTTCTCGCACTTGGTCTCGTACGAATCGTTACCAACAAGTCATCTTGAACGTGGTACACCACCGGCTTCGTAAGTTCTTTATCGTATTGCTTTGTGACTTGCCTCCGGTGCTACAATGACCATGAAATCGGTATTTTCACGCAGGAGTTCTGCATGACACTGCCGTTTCACTTCCGTGCTGTCAAAATTAATGTGGTGTGGATTGTTTCTCAGTGACACTAGAGCTCCCCTTTTCCGTTGCGAACTTTCGCGTGCCCTCGACAGTTTAATCAGTGGTCATGTTCCTCTTACTCGCTGACACGTTCACTGTTTCTATCAAAGGGTCTTCCGACTACTGTACAGCTGCCATGCCAGATGATCAGTGGTGTTGGTCACGAGAGCCCCGGTCACGAGAGCCCCGTGCTTCAATCACGTGTTCTGTTGTTGGCTAACACGTGTTCATTCGTGACATGCAGCCAATGGGCCCAGAACGAATCACTGACGAACCCATTAGCCGTTTGTCTACATTTATTTAAGCTTTCTTCCACGCTTAAGCCATCAGCTGAGGCTGAAGCCCACTCACCCGCAGCTCCAATTAGGATCGCGACAGGGCTTCTCGCATGTGACCTGATCCTCAGAAAATTCTATCCTCTGTTCTTTTCTATCCCCTTCGAGGAGTTTCTCGCAGGCTTAGATAATCGATGGCTCTGAAGCACGACAGATAGTTGTAGCGGAAGGCTTATGCTTCTCTGTCACGGTAATTATCATGTGGAGCATCGTCGCCTGCTACTTGCAGTTATAAGCCCTCAAATATCGTTGATCTCATTCGTATTCTTATTTCTTTAGCAGCTGCGAGACGTTAAAATACACCGCCGCCTACAAATGTAACGCGCATTATCAATACACAAACAATACACAAAAGTAATCTGGCATATCCCTCGAATTCCGAAAATTCATTTCATGTGAAGCAGCAGAAGGAATGGTGCCTTACTCATTTTTTCTTTACAGCGAAAGCTGTTATAAGATCACTTTTCGGGTCACGCGCAGTTGTTGTCCGCCGCCGCCGCCGCCGGCGTCCATATTTACATCACACGGAGTTAGAACAAAAAAACTTGCACCAATGACACAGTGAAGCTTGAACCCGGGTTTGTTGCGTGACAGCTCAACATTCTACAACTGAGTTACACCGGTGCTTATAACTTGTTGTCATACTTGCCTTAGGCAGGTTTCATGTCGGGAAAGCAATCGCGTTAATGCGACTTATAAAGCATTTTACAACAGCGAAAGAACAAGCAGTCATCGCACAATGCGACTAGCGTAATGAGTGGGCCGTCCAATGATCCAAACCATCACGAAAGTTTGTTCTTGTTCTCCTATTAACTGTGGCACATACCCACTTCATCCATAATTCATCATTGTCCTCCCCTAATGCATGGACTATCGGCACAATATTCCTTGTAAGTGTTTAGCGGATACCACACTTCTCAGAAAAATGACGAGAAATAATATGGCGAATGGCAGCCTACTACCCAAAAGTTTATTATTCATGCCCTAGAGGGCACCAAGCAAGTGTGCTTGCAGTATTTACCCAATGATTGCTTTGCAAAGGCCCTGAAAGGCCACTCTTCTAGCTTTCGCTGGGACTCTGCGGCGCCTACCACACCGACCTGGCGTTTTTCTTTGTTTGTTTTCGCTTTCAGACACCATTATGGGGTTGATTGGTTGATTGACGTGTTTGTGTTAATGAAGTATAGTTCTCCACACGTGGTGGCTTTCAGGCAGGACTACTTGTTGTCCGTAGCCCATGCTGCGACATAATGTTCTCTCTCATTTTATAGCCTAGGCGTCATTATAGTATATCCCTGATGCTACACTAATATTTATAACAATAGTTGTCAGGTAAAGGTGTGATGATGAGCAGTAGCGGTCATCGGCGTATTCAAGCAACACTGAAATATTCTTAGCGGTGCCATGGGTGTAAACAGTAATATTTACTACATTCTTGTTAAAGTGGAGGGTATACAATACCCACAGGCATTTTCCGCTCATGACATGCGCACGACTCAAGTGATGTGGACAACTGCACACCACCTAACTGAAGGGGACAGACAGACAGACAGACAGCCAGCCAGCCAGCCAGCCAGCCAGCCAGCCAGCAGCCAGCCAGCCAGCCAGCCAGCCAGCCAGCCAGACAGACAGACAGACAGACAGACAGACAGACAGACAGACAGACAGACAGACAGACAGATAGACAGATAGATAGATAGATAGATAGATAGATAGATAGATAGATAGATAGATAGATAGATAGATAGATAGATAGATAGATAGATAGATAGATAGATAGATAGATAGTAGATAGATAGATAGATAGATAGATAGATAGATAGATAGATAGAAGATAGATAGATAGATAGATAGATAGATAGATAGATAGATAGATAGATAGAGATAGATAGATAGATAGATAGATAGATAGATAGATAGCTAGATAGATAGATAGATACTAGGACGGATGGACGGAAACAGTCACTGTGCCTTTAATTCGCCACGAAATGCTTCGCATTAAACCCGTTTTTGTATGGGGGCTTCTTTCTCCAACATTGTGGTACACTGCACCTGTTCACCCTTTTCGGCTTCTCTTTGAGCGTTGGTGTGTTCTTTTCACTGGTTTGCCCGACATAGTACATATGCAGGTAACCTGTCAATAAACCTCGTACATGAACTCCCCTGAGCTTCGTAAAACACTGAAGCCATGACAAAAAAGTTATTGGATTCCGGCTCTTCCTTTACAAGCTATAGCATTGCCTTTTCCTGAGTGCCGACCTGCGAGAAAAAATATTATAAGATCACAATACTCCATTATTTTGAAAAACCTAGGCATTTGCATATTTGCCGCCACGTCGTTTATGAAAAAGAAGTTAATGATATTATTCTAAGGTCAGAGTTTAATACTACTTATAACAGAGTATAATATTTTAGCCTGTACGTTACGCATCCCTCACGGAGCAGGAAGCCCTCGAGGGCCGAAATTTGTGCCACCGTGTTGCATGGATGACGTACCGCATTTTACAAAGATGAGCGTACAAAACAGTGACGAAAAAAAGAAGTCATAGTACACCAGTCAAAGACGCTGTTGAGCTCTGTCTGCAAGCTACGATATATTATGTAATCATCAGCGACCATGAAATATGCAATAAAAGTTGTTTAGAGTTAACCCAAAAGGATCGGTCACACCAGCACCAGTAACACAACTAGTCTCTCACATGAACCGTGGTCTAAAGTTTATTGCTCTCTTGTGGTCGCTAATAGCTGCTACAGTACAAAAACTTACATTTCCACTTTAAGGCCAATAATAAATGGCACTTCACTGTGGGCTTTCACTCTGTGGGCTTTCAGGCTGGACTACACACAGGCGTGCTGTGGATAGCTCATGCTTTAACAAACTTTCCAGCCACTTTATGGCTTCGACGTCAATGATATATCCCTGATGCTTTACTAATATTTGTGACAATGGTCTTCACGCTGTGGTGTGATGATTAGCTGAAGCGTTCGTCGGCGTATTCAAACAACACTGAAATATTCTCAGTGGTGTCACGGGTGTAAATATTATTATTTATTACATTATTACGGCAGCGGAGGGATTACGATGTCAAACAAAGGTAGGCTAGCATTTCACACTGTGAGCAAGCACGGCCAAGTGTAGTGGCCTGCGTGTGTACTAGGGGTTCAACACAACCTCTGCATAGAAAGCACCTCCTGTTGAGCTATCTATAATGAACTTTCAGGTATGAGCTATCTGCTAAACCTCTTTACGAGGTATGCCTGCGAGCTTAGGTAACCCCACAGGCAACGTTAACTCAACCGTAACGTTTTGTGGTCGAGGTGCTAGTTAATCAACTAACCAACAGGGTGGGCAAGCGTCTGATCTGCGCCGAAGCTGGATAGCCCCCATTAAAATGTGGTGATTGAGATTATTCATTGCGAAGACGGAAACTGGGTCCCTGCCGCAGCAGATCTTGTAGCAGTCCCAGCAACACCTTTAGTACATGCTTTGATCACGGCTGGTTCTCGGTTGTTTCAGCATCTAATAGTGTCTCGCACATTCGGTGGCGAATCTGGCGAGGATGTGTACGACAAGCTCACACCCTACAAACGAGTGAGAAAATATTACTGATTGGACGCGGCAACTCAGCTTGCCAGTGTGACTTTTTTTTTTCACTGACACGGTGCTTGTGTGGTACTAAAAACACGAGAGTATCCACACGCCATGGCGAAATTTTGAGTCCAAATTAGGGGAGTGTTTCGGAGACTTTGTAGCAATAGATTGTTGCGCATACCTGCAAGGACGATGAAGACGAGTGAACTTGCTGGCCACCCTGAGCTGCAGATTGACAGAAGACAACGACGCTGAGATATTCAACCCACACCGTGTGCTTTATTTGGTACCTCACGACCAAATTCATGGCCCCTTCCACCATGTACGTCTTTGCCTCCTTCACATGTATATATCTATATATATATATATATATATATATATATATATATATATATATATATTGTCACGCAGCAAAGGACGACGCAGTTGTCTATAAGGAAAACAAGTTTATTGGAGCGAACCTGTGCCTCCCCTAACAACTGAAAGAATACACAGGCGGCGAAGCAGCGGCCGGCAAAACGACGTGCACGCTAGTGAGCGTCGGCGATTGAATGACGCGGCATCGGCTGTGCGGGAATTTATATCCCTCCGCGCGAAGGTTTCTCGAATAGTCGAATTGTATCGAGAACGCCGTGATAGCGTTTGTTAGAAACGCTGCTCGTTCGAACAGCGTTTCTAACAAACAACGCTTGAAGCGTTGTTTCTATCGAACAACGCCTGAAGCGTTGTTCGATAGCGTTTGTTCGAAACGCTGTGGTAGCGTTTGTTCGAAACGCTGTGAAAACGGTGATAGCACAGGCCGGCGTAGCCAGGCCGAAAAACAAACACAAATAAACAAACCCAATGCATGGTTCGCGGCAATATATATATATATATATATATATATATATATATATATATATAATATATATATGGTAACTTGCCGTAAGCAGGATCCGAACCTGCAACCTTCTAATAACGCATTCGATGCTCTAGCAATGAGCTACCATGGCGGCTATCCACCCAGCCACTTTATTGAGTTTATGTGAATTTAAACGTGGGAGTGTCAGTCAGCGCCACCTGTAGCCTTGAAGGCGAGTGTGACACCACTCTTTGTGAGCCTGTTTGGTGTCACGTAGCACGTGAACTTGTTACGAGCTCGCAGCTGGCTAATAGTTCCTCATATACAACCTAACAGCGCCAAGTCTGCAAGTACGAGACCCTCGTAAATAAAAGGTGATGAAGTGTATGCCTAAGGGCTCGTTTTCTCGTGTTTTGACACAATAATAATGAGATCCAACAGACAATAATGCCAAGCAATGTGTAGGGGAGATTATTAGACCAACTGTAATGTAAATGTGAACAAAGAAAAGTGGGTGAAAAGATAACTTGCCGCGAGCAGGAACCAAACCACGACCTTCGAAATAACGCGGGTCCTTCATTAACGAGGGTCTCGTACTAGCAGACTGGGTGCCGTTAGGTTGTATACGAGTGACTATTGGTCAGCTGCCCGCTCGTGATAAGTTCACGTCCTACGTGACGCCACACAGGCTCATAAAGAGTGTGGCACAGTCGCCGCCATTGCTACAGATGGCGTTGACTGACACTCCCACGTTTAAATTCACATATATACCCAATAAAGTGGATGGGAGGACGTCCAACTTAATATTTCTAGTGTTCGTGATTCCCACTTTGTTTCTAACGCACGCTGCTTACGTTCGTGAAGACAAAAACTTGGCTGATCTCTCTCTCTAGGGGCCCCGCCGCGGTGGTCTAGTGGCTAAGGTACTCCGTTGCTGACCCGCTTGTTGCGAGATCGAATCCCGACTGCGATGACTGCATTTTCGATTGAGGCGAAAATGCACTCTGCCCGTACGCTCCCACTTGGGTGCACGTTGAGAACCCCACGTGGTAGAAATTTCTTGAGCCCTCCACTACGTCGTTTCTTATAATCATATGGTGGTTTTGGGATGTTAAACCCCAGAAAGTAAAACGTGTCTTCACCGAGGTGGTTGAGCGTTTATCGTGCATAGTTTTGCCACAGGGATAAAAAATTATGTTGGAGCAACGAATTGCTGAATCACGCGAAGATGGACAAGCAGCTCAAAACTTGCAGTGTGCACCTCAAGAAGAAATCACGCACAAAATGCGAACACACAAGACGAGCACGCATAACTCATTTTTTCAACAAAGAGAAAGACCCACGAAACGAACACACAAGTGTACACAGCACATGCGCTAGCTGCCACAATGCCCTCTTTTTAGGGGATGAGCAGCGTGCTCATATCGTAAACACGGCTGTGGGAGCAACTGAAGCGACTTTTGTGCCCTCTCAAATCACGCGTCTGATTAGCGCGTGCGCAGAGGAGATCACGGTCCTCTGGAGGCGGCGCTGAACCAAGCTAAAGAGGTGAGCGAGAGGCCCAACGCGAGCACGTCGCGCCATCTCACTAGTGATGACGAAAACGCCCTGAAGTTACCAAGACCTGAGGGTGTCCAAACAGAATATGAGGTATAAAAATGGCTGGCTGTTAGCAGGGTTCACAACGTACACTCGGTTGCGGAGTGGTTAGCGCCGCGAGCTGGGGATCGCGAGGCTGCTGGCTCAACGCCCCGCAACAAAATACTTCCTTCTTGTATTTCTTTTTGCAGTCTGTCATTATATAGTTTACACTGTCCTACCCGTGGCAGAAATACGTCAGTGGAGCCGTGATGGACGCTGGCATAAAACACTTTCGTGTTTAAAAGTATACGGCGCACATAGTAGTCATGCCCAGCGGGTAACGTGAACAGCGTCGCGACACGGTACGTTAAACCCATACCGCAGCGCTAGGCCATTTGTACTACTGATCGGTAAGCTGAACATGCTAGTTAGAAGGGTTTGTCCGTGATTTAAGCCATACTGCGCGTTTGCCGCCCGCCGCCATCACGGCCTCGTGAATTTCCTGTGCCCTCGTGCATTTCCACAAAAACATCACCGCGCTGCACCGTGTCAGTGGCTCCTACAGGTTTTGATTATGCGTCCCCCTTTACCTTCTAGCACTGCGGCAAAGCTGACTTTTGGACTCTGCTACGAACGCTAACAGATCGCCTCAGGAAAGTTCAAGCTCAAACCTACGAGATGATAGAGGCAGCCGAGATGGGAGCTCCAGTAAATGCCCTTCCGGACATGAAATCAGGGCAGGAAATAAAAAAAAATTGGACACCAGAGTTTTTTTTAACATATCAACTTCAAATGTTTTTGTACAATGACGTATATGTGGCTGAATAGCAACTTTGGACTTGAAGGAAAAACTCTTGTGCGTAACGTGAGTTCGGCCTCCAGCAACATTGAAGTAGGCGCCGAGGTTGAGGAAATAACGGCGTTTCCTCTCACGTGTAAATTATTCTGGACACAACACTTATCGTGCCAAATCAATAATGTAATACAACTAGACCTCTGCATTGTTTCATACTGAATACAGCAAGAGAAATCCACCCGTCTAGCACTACAGTTACCAAGCCGAAAAAATGATTACATGTTGCTTGTTGCTATATCATGAGAATATGCAGTAGAAATTCCTTGCGACTTCTTTTTCAAAGGCTGCATATATATATATATATACTATATATATATATATATATATATATATATATATATATATATATCTATATATATATATATAATATATATATAAGACAGACTTTT